CTTAGTATATCAACCTCTTTCTCTGTGGTATGTTCAGTCATGTAAGAGTTGGGTGTGGCTTCATAGCCAACATTTGTTCATTCTTTCAACAAATATGTATCTAAAACCTATTATGGAGGAGAGGGTGTAGCTCAGTGGTAGAGCACATGCTTAGCATGCACAAGGTCCTGGGTTCAATACCCAGTACTCCCATTAAAATAAATAAGTATATAAATAAACCTGATTACCTCCCCCCCAAAACAAACAACAAAACACAACAACAACAACAATGAAAAGAAAAGCTATTATGTGCCTAGCATTCATGTAGGAACTGGGAACGGTAACAGAGAACTAGACACATTAGCAGTGATGGGGAGACAAAAATCGTTAACAGCTCTGAGGAAGATGATCTCAGAGAGAGATAAATGACATGATGCTAACAAGGTGACTATGACGTAGTATGACTGCTGGCTGCTGAGGCTGAGGTGTCAGGGAAAGCCTCTGATTAAGTGATAGCTGGACAGAAACTTGAATGACAAACGACCAGCCATGTGAAAATCTGAGGTCAGCAAACCCTGATGGACATCAGCATTTGGGACACCTCTTAATCTGGGAAGTGGTCAGTCATTTTAGATATTTAGAGCCAGAGGAAGGCCCTTAGTAATCCCTATGGTACATTTCTCTCTTTCTAGTATCTTACTGGGACCACAGAGTAACTGATGTCTTAATACTTTCGGATAAGGCATCAGATTCAGATGCTTCTCCTTCCTGGCTATTTTACCAAGTACTTGCACAGGGATATGAAAGCACCACGTAGAATCTTTTAACTCGGGCTCATCTAATCCTCATGGACCCCAAATTAGCAGAGCCTTTTAAAATATTCCTTGAAGATAATTATACATTCATAGAAAGTTGCAAGAAAACTTTACATGGCAGTCCCACATACCTTTCATCCAGTGCTTCTCAATGGTAACATCTTGCTATAGTGCAATATCAAAACCAGGAAATAAACACATTGGTACCATTCATGGAGCTTCTTCAGAGTTCACCAGTTTTATATGCACTTATCTGTGTATGTGTCAAGATACAGAAGTGTTCCATAAACATGAGGCACCTTCCAGCTGTCCATTTGTAGCCACACCTATCCCTCCAGCCCATACCTAACCTTTGGCAACTTGATCTGTTCTCTGTTTCTATACTTTGTTATTACAAGAATGTTTTATAAGTGAAATCATAGTTTTTACTCAGCATGATTCCCCTGAGATTCATCCAAGTTCTTGCAAGAATCAATACTTCATTCCTTTTTATTGCTGAGTAGTATTTCATGAAATGGATGTACAGCATACAATTTGTTCAAACACTCATCTGTTGAAAACATTTGGGTTGTTTCCGGTCATTGCCCATTATGAATAAAGCTGCTATGAACATTCATGTACAAGTTTTTGTGAGAACACATACTTCTCTTTCTCTGGGATAAATGTCCATAAGTATTATTGCTGGTAGGTGCATATTTCTTTTATTATTATTATTTTTTAAAGAAACTGCTCAACTGTTTTCCAGAGTGGCTATACCATCTCACTTTCCCACCACTGATGCATAAATTATCCTGTTTATTCATATCCTCACCAGCATTTTGAGTTATCACTTTTTAAAAATCCATTCTGTTAGGTATGTAGTGCTAACTCATTTGTGGTTTTAGACATTTCCCCAATGGCTGATAATGTTGAGCATATTTTCATGTTCTTATTTGCCATCTGTATATCCTTTTCAGGAAATGTGTGTTCATGTCTTTTGGCAGACTTTTGAGAATTCACATATATTTCTACATCAATTCTCCACCAAGATTGAGACCTTGTTCAGAAACTTCGGAAGGCTCTAACTCTAGGAAGAGCAATTCATTCGTGTGCATATTCAGTTTTCCAAAGCATCATAAAATAATATTATACTCTAATAACATTTCTGATACATCCCTCTTTACCAGTTTAGAAGAATAAATTAAGTTTACATCTTCCTTTTTTAATGTTCCCAGTGTACAGCATATAGTTTTTCCTTAGTTTAAAATCTCCAAAGCTGATTTGCTTTAGACTAAAAGCATTTCAATTAGTATGAGTAAGAGAAGTGTTATTATACTTGGTTCGTAGTTATTTTCTTACTTTATTTAAACAGCTTTCTTGTTTTGGGAAAAAAGATACATGCTCAATGTGAAAAAAAAAAGCATGAAAGAACAAATACATATTACCTAAAGTCTCATCATCTAGAGATAATCACTGCTAACATTTGGTGAGCATATATCTAGATTTCTTTCGGTACGTATATTCTCTGCACACTTCAAATATGTTTACAATTTATATAATGGATATGATACTATTCTATACCTTGTATCTCACAAGTGTATATTATGACTTCTTTCCGTATTAGTATAAAACTTTATAATTTTTAAAGCTAGTTTAGTAACTCATTATGTGTGTGTGTTTACTTAACCAGGTTCCCTATTAGTGAATATTTAGGTTGTTTCCAATTTTTTGTTATTAAAAACAATGCTTTAATGAATGTGCTTATTGGATAGCTTTTTGAATTTTTATAATTATTTTCTTAGAATAAATCTCTATAAGTGGGATTACTGAACCAAAAGTTATATGCACATATATGTATACATATGTATATGTCACTTTGCAGATGTTTACAGACTGCCTTTTAGAAAGATTGTGTTGATTTACATTTCACATGCACTGCCTGGGTAAGGTTCTTGTAAGTTTCTTAACTTTCTGCCTGTATCTCCCTTCCAACAAATTTCTCTCTTTTTTTAAAGGACTGGAAAACATAAATCCAAATCACTTCTTATTGTTTATAACTTTTAAACTGTTAACTGAGATAGGCTTTCAGGGCTTTATGAGGCTAGTCAGTCAAAGTCCTGTAAAATGGCCAACTTCTAGACCTGTTCCTCTTAGACACTTTTCAAGAACGTGGTGTGCTTCAATGGCTTTGTTATCAGGCAGTCTAGCTCACTTTTGCAATACTGACCTTGCAAGGAGAATGATAAAAGCAAGCAGCACAGCAATGACATTTACTTGTGGACAGAGGAATTATAATTAGGAGAAAAAGATGTCCAAGGTTACTGCCAGTATACCAAAACTTCAAAGATGGGAAACTGTAGCATGTAAACTAAACAGAAGATAGCAAGTTCTCCTTACGAAGTTAGAGATTTGTATTACAGCTTGATGATATTACAGTTTGGGGTCACTCAAATGCTTTTCTTCTTTTTTTAAATTTGATCAAACAATGAAGTACAGCATTTTAATTATGATCTGGAGAAAAAAAATCTTCCACTGATACATTCCCAAATCTGCAACTTGAGCATCTGTTTTGGTAATCCTTGGGCTTATTTTTCAAGGTTTAATAGATATTTGGTTTAATGATTTAATAAGTACACCTATCCTTTATATGATGATATTAATATAATTTTGCTTACAAACTTCCGTAGATGGGTTAAGCAACACAAGGACTGAAGATAAAATTGCACCTTTTAGTAATTAGGAAACATGATGATATAGCACCTAACACTAGGTAAGAATTCAGTTACAACATGTGTCTTCATTTTTATTTCCAACACTTTTTCAGAAATTTGTTCATTGTTCTTCAGCAAATAAATACTTATACTTCTAAATTTTCAGCAGCACATTCCACCTCACCCAATTCTACAGGATTTTCACAAATTGGAGAAAACCAGTGTGAAGTGTTTGCAAGATACTTAAGTTGTATTTTTGGAGTGAGTTCTGGAAATTCTTGTACTTTAAATTTATAGTGCTAGATGTAACAGTGTAATTTTGTAGCCACTGTATATCTGGCTTCTTATTAATAACAGTAAAGTAGCAAAATACCTGATTGTATAAAGCTTTTCCCTTTTCTGAGCATTTTAACTTCTGTTAGTTTCACTGTTCAGGTATTCTGAGGTAGCTTTCCAATGTCATTAGCCAATTGCAAGAGGAGCAGGTGGGGTGGTGGAGTGGGGTTAGAAGTGCCAGGTTCCATCTGTTTCTGCAGAACATTAGTTGTTTCACCTGGGATAAATCCCTAACATTGACGCTTCATTATTCTTAAGACCAAGAGATTGAACCGGTGATCTAATAAAGGCTCTGCAAATATGAAACTATATGAAAATAATTCATAAACGAGTGTAAAATTAAATTTCACACTGTACTCATAAACGAGTGTAAAATTAAATTTCACACTCTACTTGTAAAGGTAAACTTTTAAACCTTAAAAAATTTGGGTGACTATGCACAAGAAGTGCCAAAACGATACAGGAATTAACAGAAAAATCATCATTTGCCATGCAGAGAGAAAACGTTTGACGTATACCCCCATGTCTTAAATCCTTAAGAGGGTTATTAACTTCAGTTTTCCAAACTTCACATCCAGCGTCTGTGTGACCTCAGGTCTTTGGCCCTATTTTTACATAAGACAAAAGTGCGGGTGGTTGTGGGTTTGAAGGAGTTCTAATCTTAGCTAAGGTCAGTCATTATGTGAAGGATCAAGGGTTGATGGTCTA